TTTTAAAAGCATGTCAGGGGCAGATAAAGATTATATTTCCATGTTTTCCTGGACGAATTTGTTTCTTGCTGTTCTTAGGCTCAATAACAAAGTAATTTTCAATCATACTAAGCACAAAACATGAGTAAGTAGTTGACATGAAAACGAGGCCATTGGATAAAACAGATTCTTTCGCTTCAAGCGCAACGTGGTCGTCGGCAAAACTTAGATGTTACACCCCCCCCCCAGTTAAAAAGTTCACCCTACGCTCCCTCGTTAGAAATATTACAATGCACATGATAGAGTCTGTTCAGTGATACGATTAATTAAAAAAAACCCTTAATTTTTGGAAATGAATCATGCATATTTCCGTAAAGGGGCTATAAGTGCTTTAGCCAGAATAAAATATTGCGCATAGAGTTCCAGTGTATGAACACTATCTATGTGATTGGCTTATCTGCATTAAACATTCAGTTTTACTGCTATATAAAACATTGGAGTGGACTTGAGGTAAAATGAAATAATCAGAAATGTGTCTAGTACAGGATTCAAAGCTGGCCACATCCATAATTTAACAACAGTTGTTTCGTTTTTCAGCTAAGCGTTAAACAATGGCACACAGCTATCATCAGCAAGGTTACGATGACAGCCGTTTTGAAGGTCGAGTCAGAGAAGATCTACTTTGCTCCATTTGTCAAGGGGTGCTCAGAAATCCACGAACTTGCCAGAATAAAGAACATCCATTTTGTCTTTCTTGTATATCTCAACATCTTCGTAATTCCCACACATGTCCTGAATGCAGAGAACACCTGACCCCAGAAACCCTCAAAGATCCACCGAGATTTTTGAAGAATACCTTATCAGAGCTGAAGATCAAGTGCGATTACAATGAGCGAGGATGTCCGGGCTACGTCCAGCTTGGAAATCTACAGCATCATGTTGAGCGATGTGGCTTCGCGCCTGTTATGTGTGGAAATGAAGGATGTGGGACGGTGGTCAATAAAAAAGATAAAGAAATCCACGAGCGAGAACTCTGCCAGTTTAGAATCGCCAAATGCCACGACTGCAAAGATATTAAAGCAAGTCAAGATGAAATGAAAGCAAGTCAAGATGAAATGAAAGCAAGTCAAGATGCAATAAAGGTAAAAATATTGTGTCCACGTTTAGATTTGCATGGCAACATATTGTATCGTAGAACATGAATAATACCAGGGAAAACTGGTAAAACACAATCAGTACAACTGTTGCAACTATGGGAGTAGCTGCATATTCATACTGGAAAAAACTCTACTACCGTAAGCACTGAAAAATATGGCAGCTCCAGAAATATGTGATATGTTTGCTAAAAGAAATGAAGTGACAAATATTTAGAGCAACTCAGCAACTACAACTGCATGACATACATCTTCCACGAGTTAGAACTGTGAAGACTAAATGAAAAACAACGTATAGTGGACAAGTACTTTTTAACTCGCTTTCAAAAACTCATTAATAATTCATGAACCAATTATCCAATCTTGAGTAAGAAATTAGTCACGTGCATACGTCTTTATACCAGCTAAAGAACGCTTTAACAAAAGACCATTGTTATGCAAACTATATAAAGATTTTTATATAAAGATTTTTATATAAAGATTTTTATATAAAGATTTGACTTATTACGCAAACGTTTTTGAAGCCATTTAAAAAACTCGCAGGTCGTGTTTTATTATGTCTAAAGCCACTCGCGCTGCGCGCTCGTAGCTTTAAACCTAATAAAACAATCATGCTCGTTTTTTAAATAGTACATGAAATCACCTTAATTAAAATAAAATAATTAAAAATTAACCATACATCGTTTCCGGTGATTCTTGTGGTGAAAAATAATTCTCTTAGAGATGAATGATGGGGTCGACCACCTTCAAATATATCACTCGGTGTAATTATGTGATACCGTATAATCAATAGTTTTGATTTCTTTATATAAGTGAATAAGTAACTTTATTATTTCACCCTCCCACCCCAGATAACGAAGTTGAACTTCTGATGATTGAGGCCAACATATTGAACACTTTGCCAAGTAAATAAACTATTTATGGCGCATAGCATCTCAAAATGTACACTGTGTCATCGCTGATATATTTTAATGTAACAACATAGTCACAGAACTTTTTAATTTTACAATCCAGGAGAATGTTGACGAGATAAAGCAAACTCAAGCAGAAATGAAAGCAGATCAAGTGATGTTTAAAGCTGAGGTAAGCCAGCAGTTTCAAAGAATGACAGAAATGTTAAATCAGTTGTTGCAAGGAAAAAATGTAAACAACAATGGTGGTCAAGCTATTGGTCCAGCAGCTCCAGCCAACAACCAAGATATTATTATTTTTGGCGGTCGGTGGCCAGAAGGAGGTGACGACATTTTAAATACAGTTGAAAAATTCAACATAGCAGAAGGAACGTCAACTGAGCTGCCACAGATGAATCTCGCTCGAACATCATCAGCATCATGTGTTTACAACGGTGACGTCATCGTGACTGGAGGCCACGATGGTAAAGCTGGTTCTGACTTGATCGAGATTTTAAAGATGAACCGGCATCCTTTGCGATGGACGATGTTTGATGGTAAACTGCCTGTCAAGTTATCTGATCATGACGTCACAGTTTACGAAGATAAATTATGTATCATAGGAGGATATAACTGGAATGAAAAGAAAACATCCGATGCAATTTATGAACTATCCCTTGCCCCGCCTTATACTGTCAAGCTTCTCGCAAGAATGCTTCAGCCAAGGAGAAACCACAGAGCGGAGATTGTTAACGGGAAGCTATTTATCTTGGGAGGAATAACAACAGGCTGGCCTAAAAATGGCACAGATGGCGTTGTTGTGTATGATTTCATCAAGAACGAGATTAAGCCATGTCCATCGTTATACAAGCCTGTCTCAGGAATGTCCACAGTTACTTGGGGCAATATAATCATTGTTGTCGGCGGGCAGGATAAGAATGATCAGGTTTTAAATGACGTCATCATGTATCACATTGAGACAGGGGGGAGTGAAAGATTACCTTCACTGAAACACAAGAGGCGTGGTGCCTCAGCCGTAATCATGCATGACGTCATTGTTGTATTGGGAGGATGGAATGAGGAGGAGGGATATCTCAATTCAGTAGAAAGTTTCACAATGGGAGATGATCAGTGGAAAGAACTGCCAGGAATGAAAGATAAAAGGCAGTGGTCAAATGCTGTAGTGATACCTCGCAACTGAAAAGTTTTCTATAAACTATTTATTCGTCTCTTGCATAAATACCACTTTGCGCCGTGCGGATAAACATGGAGGGAGTCTGATACCAAACACGTACAGAAAAGGAAATAAATAACATTGACTGAAAAGTGAACGTACTACAAAATACCCTGATAACCTTACATGACCCCGCGAGACGTCTCGCCTGCTATCATCTCCCCTCCGAGTAATTTTATTAAAAAAATTTACATGGCGGCATACGAGACCATAGGTTGGCTGGATGAAAAAATGTTCAAAATGAAGACGCCAGTCTGCTTACCGGGATGAGGTCAAGAAACCGAATAATTTTTACTGAGCGTCATATTTGCTTCGCATGAAATTGTTAAATCTGTTGCTGAAGCAATGTTTTTTCTTGCAAGAAACGATAAAAAACACCAAAATCGTTACAACATTTGTGTTGCATGCCTGAAATGTACGAGTTTTACAAGCCCTAATTTATATAAAGCTACATTGTAATTTCATCTTGAAAACATGAAAACCTACTAGGCGATACTACTCGGTTAGCGGAATCATATAAACAGGCCTGTGGCGTCAGTGATGGTTATAGGTTTAATGCTCAGACTTCAGTCAATGTTATTTATGTCAGTATTGTATTCTGGGTTGAAAATTTTTTCTTTTAGGATAGAGAATGTTTCAAGAGAACTAGTAACAGTTTCCAATATTCTTCAGGGACATAACCATCAATCCATTATACATTAATAATTATAATTAATGAAGAGCATAGCCGTTGATAACCTCCTCATGATAACCAAAGTAATGAGCAAAATTTCACAGATGACATAGTCATAGAGAATATGACATGGTCATGGAGAATATGTTGTGCAGGTCCAACATTAGCCTACCTAATCATCAATAGCACAGTATAAATAAGGGGCCATGTCCATATTCATGTTGCCACAAATAACGTCGAATCGATGTTATTCATAGTATTTCACCCACCCACCCGCCTCAGATGTCGATCGGATCGATATTCAGTCGTATTTTGACCGATAGACTCACAATTATTGTAGGCTATTAATAATATAAAGGCTAGAGAAAAAAAATATAAGGTGAATAAGTTGCGATAGGCTTTCAACAACGAGCAAATGGTCTTGTGGCAAAGACTACGTATACAGGTTGTGTTATACAGCTATTTCAATTAAGGTTGTCCCTCCAGCAAAGCGGAAAAGTCAAATACGAGTGCGAAAGGCTGCTGGGAATCGCTAATAAACGAATGAATTTACTAGCGGTTCCTAGCAGCCTTTCGCGCTCGTATTCGACTTTTCCGCTTTGCTCGGGGGACAACTTAATTGAAATAGCTGTATACCATTGTTGTTCAGGTCCTACAGAAGTCATTTCGGGATTCGATAATGGTTGAATTTAATTGTACAAGCTAGAGAAAAAATAAAAGTTGAAAAAGTTGCGATGGGCTTCAAACAAAAAGCAAGTGGACTAGTGTTAAAGACTACAGGCAGTTTTATGTACCATTGTGTTTCAGGTCCTACGTAAGTAATTTAATTTTGTCATTCGAAAATGGTTGAACTTTAATTATGCAAGCTAAAGAAATAAAAATAATGGTAATAAGTTGCGATAGGCTTCCAACAACGAGCAAGTGGTCTAGTGCTGAGACTACGGGCTGTGTAATGTACCATTGTGGGTCAGGTCCTACATAAGTCATTTTGTGATAGGAGAATTGTTGAATTTTAATTAAGCAAGCTAGAGATAAAAATAAGGTGAATATGTTGCATTTGGCTGCCAACAACGAGCAAGTGGTCTAGTGGTAAAGACTACACGCTGTGTAATATACTACAGCTGAACATCAAATTCCACCTCAGAGAGTAAAAGGTTAAATAAAATCAAAAGTACCAGCCTAAAAGCAACAGCCATGATGGTCTAGTGGTCTCGGTTGAGTGTCGCATGTCAGTGAAGTCAGGATCCTGTCCTGTCAAGGACTTTTTGGTCTTTGTCAGGGTACGAATTAATTATAGGGTGGAGAAAAAGGATTAGCTATGATAGAAAACATTAACCTTTCACCAACAGACCTAGTAGTCTAGTGGCACCACTCAAAGCCTTCGGGTGCTATGGTGGAAGGATCGAGTCCGGGTAAGACCGGCTGAGACTTCGTGCTCAGGAAATCGATCTGACCGGGTGTAAGCGGAATGGGACAAAAATCGGGGGTTCTGTTTCCCCGAAACATATGAGCAAAAAACCAGCTTTATCTTGCACAAAAAGCAAAGAAAAAAACTTAGTAAAATTTTTTCCTCTTTTTGCCCCGGCCCCTCTCCGCGGGGCTTTCCTACTTTGCCGCCTTACCACCGTACGCTGTCATATTCTAAGTCTACCGCGCATTCGCCACACCATGGCAACTACTAAAGATTAATTTCATTGGTAGTATCTTCTCCAAACATTTGGCCGGCCGCCATTTTCTTTTTTCTTCTTCTAATTTCGACCACCATCTTTTTTCTTTATTATTCTTCCATTCGTTCTCGAACCGATCCTGATACACGACATTGGCTTTTACAGTCCGATATCGCTACCACTAGACCACTTGCTCGCTGTTGGAGGCCTACCGCAACTTATTCACCTTAACCTTCTTTCTCTGGCTTGTGTAATTAATATTGGACACATTTCGAGTTACAAAATGTCTTTTGTAGGACTTGAACCACAATGCCACATAACACAGCCTGTAGTCTTTACCAATGGACTACTTGCTCGTTGTTGGAAGCCCATCGCAACTTATCCGCCTTAACATTTTTTCTCTATCTTGTGTAATTAATATTCGACACATTTCAAGTCACAAATTGACATCAGTAGGACTTGAACCACAATGGTACATTACACAGACTGTAGTGTTTACCACTTGACCACTTGCACGTTGTTGAATGCCCATCGCAACTTATTAACCTTATATTTTTTCTCTAGCTAGTAGAATTAAACTTCAACCATTTTTGAATCCCAAAATGACTACTGTAGGACCTGAACCACAATGGTACATTACACAGTCGGTAGTCTTTACCACTAGACTACTTGGTCGTTGTTGAAAGCCTATTGAAACTTATTCACCATATATTTTTTTTCTCTTGCCTACGAATCCCATAGTGAATTCTGTAAGACCTGAACCTCAATGGCACATTACACAGCCTGTAGTCTTCACCACTAGACCACTTTTTCGTTGTTGAAAGCCGATCGTAACTTATTCAGCTTACATTTTTTCTCTAATTTGTGTAATTAAAATTCGAGCATTTTCTAATCCCAAAATGTCTAGTGTAGGACGTGAACCCAATGGTACATTACACGGTATGTTCTTTTTACCTCTAGACCATTTGGCCGTTGTTGGAAGCCGATCGCAACTTATTCACCTTATATTTTTTTCTCTAGCTGGTCGAATTAAAACTTCAACCATTTTCGAAACCCAAAATGACTTTTGTCGGATCTGAACATTGAGGGTACATTACACAGCCTCTGGTCTTTACCACTAGATCACTTCGTCGTTCTTAGGAGCTAATCGCAAATTATTCACCTTGTATTTTTCTCTAATGGTATATTACACAGCCGCTAGTCTTTAACACTAGACCAATTGCTCGTTGTTGAAAACATATCGCAACGTACTTATTCACCTTACATTTTTTTTCTCTTGCCTGTATAATAAAAATTGAACCATTTTCGAATCCCAAAATGACTTCTGTAAGACTTGAACCTCAAAGGCACATTACCCAGCTTGTAGTCTTTACCACTACACCACATTCTCGTTGTTGAAAGCCCAACGCAACTTATTCACCTTATATCTTTTCTGTAATTTGTGTAATTAAAACTAACAACCATTTTCGAATCCCAAAATGATTAAAATCCCGTTGTTTGAAGCTGATCGCAACTTATTCATCTTATATTTTTCTCTGTAGCTTTTATAATTAAAACTCAACCATTTTCGAATCACGAAATGACTTCTGTAGGATTTGAATCACAATGGTACATTATACACAGCCTGCAGTCTTTACCTCTAGACCACTTGTTCGTTGTTGGTAGCCTATCGCATCTTTTTCATCTTTTATTTTTTTCTCTTGCCTGCATAATAAAAATTCAACCATTTTGGAATCCCAAAATTATTTATGTAAGACCTTAACCTCAATAGTACATCACACAGGCTGTAGACTTTACCACTACACCACTTTCTCGTTGATATCGGCTTGATGATCGCAAGTTGCATCAAGTCTGCAGCAGACCTGCTGGAACTTGCGCGTTTCGGGCTGAGTACACCATGACACCACTTTGGACTACGCTAATGCTTTCGTTTCCTCGGGTGTAAATAGCTGGGCGGAATTAGTACCCTCGCACGGCGCTCCGGCACAAGGTAAAAGGTCAATTTATTCGTAATAAGCTCAGAAGTATAAAAGTTAGTCCAGGGGAATCTGTTTCTTAATGAAATTGACTGCGCTCCGGCACAGATACATATATATATGTATATATAAATATATATATATATATATATATATATATATATATATATATATATATATATATATATATATATATATATATATATATATATATATATATATATATATATACATATAGATACAGAGTTATAACTAGTGTAACCACTTTTTTGTGCGCGTGCTCGGCAAGTTACTAGATGCATGCATCAGATTGGATGGCGGGTGGCTTTAAAAATTAAAACTTGCTGAGAACCCGCAGTTGATAATTTTTAAGTAACAGATTATTTTGGACTAGCTTTTATACCTCTGAGCTTATTACGAATAAATTGATCTCGCGGTTTTATTTCGAGTAAAAGGTATTTCTTAATGAAAATTGACTGTTTATACGAGCTGTTCGTGACTCATTTAGGCTGCAGCTTATCTAAGCCGAGAAGTATTATAACTATTTCCCATAACAATTGTGACTAACCAAATAAACTATTCTATAAAAACTATTCTATATAGTCATACAGCCATAATCATGTAGCCATAATCATGTAGTCATAGTGATGTAGTCATATAGCCGAAAACCAATGTTCTACTGCATGGGGAAATAGTGGGACAATATGTCTCGTTTTAATGCACTTAACCGCGCCTCTATAGGTATTACGTCATCCAAGGAGGAATGCTACGAACGTTAGTGATTCAAGGAGAGTTAAATTTGGTCAAGTATAGATATACTTTTATTGTCCTTTATGAAATGTACAATAGTTATTATAAAATTACATTGTCTCCGTTGTTCGTGACTCATTTAGGCTGCAGCTTATTTAAGCCGAGAAGTATTATAAATTGTGATTTACCACATAAACTATTCTATAAAAACTATTCTATATAGTCATACAGCCATAATCATGTAGTCATAATCATGTAGTCATAGTGATGTAGTCATATAGCTGAAAACCAAGGTTGTACTACTGCATGGGGAAATAGTGGGACAATATGTCTCGTTTTAATGCACTTAGCCTCTCTTCGAAAGATATAAGGGTATTACGTCATCCAAGGAGGAATGCTACGAACGTTAGTGATCCAAGGAGAGTTAAATTTGGTCAAGTATAGATATACTTTTATTGTCCTTTATGAAATGTAAAACATATAGTTATCATAAAATTACAATGTCTCCGGTATTTACAAAAGCCAACGTAATGATTTCTCTTACTACAGTTTGCTGATGGAATTTTGCACTGGATCTTTCCATCCACAAAGTAAATCTGCAACAGTATTTAGGCGATCTTGACCCCAGATGACAGCACCGTCATTGACTTGATAACTGGGAACACCACAGGCCCCCACAGCAATAGCTCTAAATAAATGATGCATCATAATGTATTTTGAATATGGTGTCTATCCAGTTATCTAACCTAATTTTAAAATAAATATATTTAAATAATTAGTGTTAGTAATTACATAGGTGATTGTTGAAAATTCTCCACGCTGATTGTTTGCCGTTGAGGTGATTATAACGCGACAATCACCTAAGCGATTTTCGAAATGGCGGCCGTTTTGTCAATTAAACGAGAAAGAAATGTGTAGTTTTGATCTTGTCTCCAAATAATCACCTATGAAATTATACTAAACAATTATCCACCTTAGGCTCGGTGATTATCGAGAATAAAAACCTCGACTTCGTCTCGGTTTCTATTCACCGATAACCACCTCGCCTTCGGCGAATAATTGCTAATTAAGCCATGCAGGTATTGTGAGCTCATGCAAATACCTGCGGGCAGCCATTTTATTGGCCAAGTAGAACAGTAAATCTGGAAAAGGTTTTTTTAGATATTTAGACCAGAGAATCCTTGCTGCTTTTATCTTATTCTTATAGGAAATTTACAAACAAACAAACAAACAAACAAACAAACAAACAAACAAACAAACAAACAAACAAACAAACAAACAAACAAACAAACAAACAAACAAACAAACAAGCAAGCAAGCAAGCAAGCAAGCAAGCAAGCAAGCAAGCAAACAGACAGACAGACAGGCAGGCAGGCAGGCAGGCAGGCAGGCAGGCAGGCAGGCAGGCAGGCAGACAGACAGACAGACAGACAGACAGACAGACAGACAGACAGACAGACAGACAGACAGACAGACAGGCAGACAGGCAGGCAGGC